CTCCTTTGCCGAGGGTCGGTACGCGGTGAGTTGGCCCTGGAGGGACTCACATCCTCCTCTTCCGACAAACTACGGTCTGGCTTTCGGTCGCCTGAAGGCACAAGTGCGTCGCCTCGAAGCCCATCCGGAACTTCTTGACCAGTACGATACCGTGATTCAAGACCAGCTTGACAGGGGCATGATAGAAGATGTTCCTCGTGGTTTTACAACCAACCAGATTCACTACCTTCCACACCATTCAGTACTCAAACCTACTGCTACTACCACGAAGCTGAGGGTAGTGTATGATGCGTCCGCAAAATGTTCCGAAAAACTCGCCAGTCTCAACGACTGCTTGCACGCTGGCCCCAATCTTGTTCCAGACCTTTGCGGTATTCTTCTTCGTTTTCGTCTTTCTCCGGTAGCCATAAGTGGAGACGTAGAAAAGGCCTTTCTGCAGATTGGTCTGCACTCACATGATCGTGACGTGACCCGCTTCCTATGGCTGCACGATGCATCCAGCTCAGCTACTCCAGACAACATACGACAACTTCGTTTCTGTCGTGTTCCGTTTGGCGTTGTCAGCAGTCCATATCTCTTGGCTGCCACTATTCAGCATCATCTTAGCGCTGCTGATACAACAGATTCCGACCTAGTGTCTCGCAATATTTACGTTGACAACCTGTTCCTTGGTGCCAACTCTGGGACGGAGGCGATTGCTATCTATGATGCCACGAAGCGCCTCTTCAGTGTTGCGTCTATGAATGTTCGCGAGTGGTCTAGTAATTCTGCAGAGTTTCTTAGCAGCATTCCAGAACCAGACCGAGCCAAGGGTACTATCCACAAGTGCCTCGGTATGCTGTGGGATACAGAACATGATACTCTACATATTGCACCTGTCAGTGCCGTATCCAAGTCGGCCACAACGAAGCGGAGTATCCTTCGACATACTGCCCAATTCTTTGACCCCCTTGGTCTCCAGTCTCCTGTTCTTGTTGGTGCGAAGATTCTGCTTCAGGATCTTTGGAAGCTGAACGTCGGCTGGGACGACGACCTTCCACAAGACATCATTTGTAGATGGTGTGATATTGCGGCTCAACTTGAACTTGCTGCATCAACGAAATGTCCACGATTCATCAGTGCACCACGTGCCAGCGACGCTCGGTTTTCTCTCCACGTCTTCAGCGACGCATCTGGGCTGGCTTACGGTGCCGTTGCTTACCTTACTACTACGTTTGACGATCAACACACGTCGAACCTTCTAATCAGCAAGTCCCGTGTTGCACCTGTTGCTTCACCTACCATTCCACGTCTGGAATTAATGGCCGCGCTTCTCGGTGTTCGTCTGATCCAATTCGTCCGTCGGGAACTTCCGCTCACTTTCTCCTCTACCTTTCTATGGTCAGACTCCACCACAGTTCTCCATTGGCTGGCCTCTTCTGACAAACTACCTGTCTTCGTCAACAACCGTATTGATGCCATTCGTGCGGTTCCCGATGTTGCCTATCGCTATGTCCGCTCTGCCGACAATCCCGCCGACTTGCCTTCACGCGGTGTCTCTGTTCCTTCCCTTCAAGCCAGCTCGCTATGGTGGCACGGTCCACACTTCCTTGCCACTGCTGACCATCACGCCGAGCCAGCACTTGATCACCATGTCAACGTTGCCGCTGGGGAGGGTCCTTCAAGCACTTCGGAGATACCTGCACCTGTATCACACCCAACAGAGTCCACCGGTCCAGACACTGAGCTTGCACACGAAATGAAAAAAAAGCCTGATGCGCATCACGAACAAAAAAAAACATGTGATGAACCACCATTTGGTATTGATTGTGCCAGGTTTTCGTCTTTCAGTGCCTTAGTGCGTGTTTCTGCTCTGTGTTTGCGGTTTCTCTCCAGGTTGAGACCACAAGGCGGCAAGTCCTTCGGGGTGGATTCTAGTTGTAACTCAGAGGTCAAGGTAGCCAAAATCATGTGGCTACACCATGCACAACAGAATCTGTCAGACGTCAGTGCTGTCGAAAATTGTAAGAAGCACAGCCCGAAGGACAAGCTGCGGCTCTTCCTCGATGAGAACCGCCTCATCAGATGCAGAGGACGCTTGGAGAACGCCGAACTTTGCTATCAAGCAAAGTATCCAGTACTGATTCCCCAAACGCATCCCATCACCCAGCTCATCATCAACGATTGTCACCTGATGACGATGCATGGCGGCGTTGCACACACGCTATCAAGACTGCGTTACGAGTACTGGTTACCACGAGGGCGTGCAACAGTGAAGTCATTCATCACTAAGTGCCTGACTTGCCGGAAGCACCACGGTGGTCCATACCGCACCCCAGATATGGCCCCGCTTCCATCTGCCCGCGCAACAAGATCTATCCCGTTCACCCATGTGGGACTAGATTACTTCGGTCCTCTGCTCGTCAAGCACCAGCCAAGTACCAAGAAGGTATGGGTCCTCCTAGTGACATGTATGGCAACTAGAGCTGTCCATCTAGAACTGGTGGCAGACATGACCACAGAGGAATTCCTGCTAGCGTTCCGCAGGTTCGTGTCGTTGCGTGGTTGCCCTGAAGAGGTAGTGTCTGACAACGCGCCACAATTCATCCTAGCTAAGTCTGTTCTGGATGTGGCCTTTGAAGAAATGGCAACGAGTGATGATGTCCTGTCGTACATGTCGAGGACTGGTGTGAAGTGGCACTATAACCCACCGATCTCACCTTGGATGGGTGGTTTCTACGAGCGTCTCGTTGGAACAGTCAAACGAAGCCTGAAGAAGGTCGTTGGCCGCGCGCTCCTCACTGTGTCGCAACTGACTACCATTCTCATGGAAGTGTCAGCAGTCGTCAACTCGCGTCCACTGGTGTACGTGGACAATGACTTGCAGGAGATACTCACCCCAAGTCATTTTCTGTGCCTGTCCGCAACTACTGGTGGCGTGCAACCCACTGCTGATGACGGCGATCCGGACCACATCGAAGTTCCGACTGCAGCTCAGAATCTTCTCTCTGTCTGGAAGAAGGGTCAACGAACATTGGACCAGTTCTGGCGTGTCTGGCGAGACGACTACTTGGCTGATCTCCGCAACAGTCACACTCGGAAGCTCCGACAGGCACGCGTTACCGCTTCAGAACAGCCAGCCGTTGACGATGTTGTACTAATAAGGGATGACATGCCCCGTGGCTCATGGCGACTTGGTCGCATTGTCGCTCTCCATACAAGCAAGGACATGGAGATACGTTCCGCAACCGTCATCACTGCAGAGAAGACAGAGCTCAAACGACCCCTGTCTCTCCTGTACCCTATCTGTCCTGCTGCTAACTCCGAGGCTAACAACAACAGCACCGCTCCGGACACACACACCACTGGCCAAGCCGATCTGCCAGTTCCAGCAGCTGTTGCTCCACCCAGTCGTCCACAACGTGCTGCCGCTAAGAAGCAACGTCAGACGCTTCGCCAATTAATTGGCAGCGAACTTGTTTAGTTGAATCAGCTAGACAGTTGGTAGTTCACATCTGAACTCTCTCTCTCTCTCTCTCTCTCTCTCTCTCTCTCTCTCTCTCTGTGTGTGACGGTCTACTCTCTTTCACCCTTGCGTAATATATGCACTTATTGTGTTTTGTTTCCACATTACTTTGTTACGAATTATCTCCTTTTCTCTGCATCTCTTGCGGGGGAGTGTCACGACGTTGACATGATGTTCAACGTCATGAGATTATTTGCAGTACACGTCATAGTTTGTGTTCTCTACCCCGGTTTGTTTCCGCGTTCCCACACCGAAGCGGGGCCGCGTGTTTATTATTTCTACTGACTCACTCGCCTCTTGGCGACTTCCTCCATGTTTTTTCCTCCTTTTTTGCTCTGCGCAAGCGCCTTGCGCTTTAGTCGTCGTCTTCTTTCAGTTCACAGCAAGAACAATAATTTTACCTCTTGTGCAGTGTCAGTCAAATTCAGTCAAATCAAGCTCTCCCGATCCCAAGAAACTGTCTGGCGTGTGCATAACGACATTAGTGTTTATTCCATGTGTTTTGTATGGCGTGGTATTCTGTACATGTTCGTCAGATCTCGTCATGACTGTAACTCCTGCTTGGTTCCCTGGCTAGGTGCTATGCTTGCTTTGTTGAATTTTTCCTTGAGCATTGGATTTATTGATTTGTATTTGACCTGTCTTACCTGTGTCTACGTAACTTGTTCTGCAGTATCCTTGATCGTTGTGTTAGGCAAGTGCCCAGATTTTTAGTATCCATGCTGGATTAGTCAGTAGACTGCTCTGCTGCACTGTTCGATGACGTAGTTGCGTTCCTTTATTTCGCTTCGCACTCGTAGTTTGAATTTCTTGAGTGCACGCACGGTGTATTTTTTGTGTTTAGTTCTAGTTGACGTCATGAGGTACTATTTTGGCTACCCGGACTGTACGAACTATACTCAGTCTCGATCGAGTATCGATCTGGCTACATTTTCGATACATGTGTTTTCCGTATTTGATGCATGCAGTACGCTGGCGTCGTTTGCGCTGGTTGTAGGTGCACTTGTACGTGCACGTTCCGATGAGGACAGCGTTTTCGCATCCGCTTGTGCTTTGATAGTCTGTTTACCTGGGTTTCTATCCAGTTCTTCTTCTCTCTTGCCTCAACACAGTCATGTAATTTCTTTCGTCTCCTTTTCTATCTTGCATATCCTCTATATCGTTCGTGCCATGTAAATAAATACTGGTCGGTCTCAGTTCCTGGAACTTTTGAGTGTAAGATACACAACACCATGCATACATCTATTCTGCCCCCCAGATTTTACATGAAGAAAGTAGGACTGGTAGACATCACTTTGGCATGAATTGTTTTGCCAAAATAATGTGTAAACCACCATTTTGCTTGGCTTGGCTCATGTACTGACCACTTACACAGTATAAAGTGGTCACTATACAGGAGCCAAGCTGATCGTGGGACGTTCATAAAAGTCGAAAAACACAAAAATCCGGACAGTGGCAAGGTTGCTCCGGAGCACTAGCATATGCCCCTGCTTACCGATTGGTGACGGGCAATTCTTGAGAGTGAACACACGTTTCACGCAACAGTAGCCATGAATAGCAATATAATCGAGAGAGAAGAAGTCAACTGTCTTGAATAGCTGATGCACTACATCATGTAGGTCAATGCACAGTGATGTCCACTGCACCAGGCACACATACATACACATAAACACACACACGCACACGCACACAATAAAAGTACACACTTGTACGCAGGGCAGAGAGTGATGATGGGTTCTCGACTTAAAAATATAGCGTGTGGGTCAATAAGTTGTGTGTATTAGCTAAGTTAGCTCGCATGTGCACGTGTACGTGTGTTGTTGTGATCGTATTTTTTCCATACTTTTTAAAAACTCCATAAAATTGTGAACGGTACCATTCGGCTGTTCAATAATGCAACAATCTCTCCTCCTCTTCTCCATGCACTCTCAGCCGACACGTCCATTACAATATCCTATTCCGTATCACCGAGAGTCCGTAACCCTCCAGAGTGCACAACTTCACTGATCAGATCTGGGAGGGCGAAACCCGTGTTGCACGTCAGAGTGTGACATCATGAGTAGGGGAAGTGCATCCGTGGCGACGATGGAATGATGCAAGTCCAACCCAAAAATGATGTACATCACGGATCACGCCGTCCCAAAACCCTATCCCGGTCAGTTGCACACTTTGGGGGATTATGGACTCTTGGTATCACCTTCTCTAACGAGCCTTTGATAGGCGAAGCAGATGTCAAAAGGAATAATATCAGTATCAAGATTTGAAGTACCCGTAAGTTGCCGTAACCCCTTCGTTGTTCGGACTTTTTGGTGTGTGTAATGGCTACCGAGGGTGGTTGGGAGCGCATGGAGAAGAGGATGATCGTTGCATTTAAAATTCTCAAAGAGAAAATGAGGCCGAACCGAGGCTGGTAGCAATGAAAGAAATATTTTCAAAGCCAGATTTGAGCCAGGCCCGAACCTACCTTGCCTAGACTGACAAGTTAGTGAAGTCTTTAAGAATTTTGAACAAAAGGACGAGCCAAATCGACATGTGTACCAGCTTCCTCGTCAATGCCACCAAGATAGTCATCTTGTCACTCACAACAAACCACCAACTCAACATCACTCTTAACGACACACCCCACAGCAAGTCAACGAACACCGTCACCGTGGAATCATACTAGTGTTGAAACGAGCGTATCTATAACAAACGAGCGATCAGTTCCACTAACGAGCAAGCTATCGAGCGAGCTAACGAGTTTCATTGATGTGTTTTTTCTAAGTTCGATTTTTTCAGCTGGTTCAAATTATCACCGCCGGCATTTGGGGTTGCTGCTGCTTCACTTCGGACTGCTGTTTGGTGTCGAGATGTCTTTTCAGCGCCGTCGTCGAGTAGCCTTTGTAAGAATAGACCGTTTTGCAAAGATTGCAAGTAGCCCTGGTCTTCGCTGCATCGCGGGAGAAAACTTCCAAACGACTGAGCGTAACTTTCACTCGAATGGAGAGGTGACCGAAGCATATCCTGCGACAGGTCAGCAGATGCGGAACAAGACATCAGTAGAGTCCACCAAAGCTGCAACGACAACTGAAACAACTCAAGTGTCGTGCAGGCATACAGTCACTGTAACTGCGAGTGATTTTCACTTTGCGCGGGACTGGACTCTCGATCCACCAGGGAGTCGTAACATATTTTACGACTCCCCGGTCGACATGTACTGCCATGTGTACGGAGTACGGTGATCGTTAGTGCAAACGAGCTGGCCGCACAAACGAGCCGAGTTTCTGGCGAGCGAGCTAACGAGTATCCGGTGAGATCGTTTCAATACTAAATCATACTGTACAAAACAATCTCCAATGAAACTCACATGTCACCCACAGAATAAACAAATCCAAGAAACTCACATGTCACCCACATAATAAACAAATCCAAGAAACTCACATGTCACCCACATAATAAACAAATCCAAGAAACTCCTTCACCAACTTCATAAAAACACAAGGCCAACTTAACTCGTAATCTTGTAATCGTAATCTACACCGCCCACATTTGCCCGGTTATAGAGTATGACAGTCTCATGTTATCCAACACGGAGCCCCTCTTCAGCATATTGCCGCTGGCTGTGTTGACTCGTGTAGAGGGCGTGCCTTCGCCTTTGCATGCCAGTAGGCCATTAGAGAGTAACGGCTTTTCGTCATGCTTTTGTGTTCAATCTTACACTTCAGTTGAGTGTTCTATTTATCGCCGAATTTGGTTGTCTTTTCGCCTTGGTTCTTACCTGTTGTTTCACGCAATCAGCTTTGTGAATAAACCCGTTCTCAAGTAGGGTACTATTATCAATTGTTTCTATATGATTGTGTGAAAGACGCTTTTCAGGGATTCAATTTTGGTTGCATACAGCATTGGCTGTTGGTGTCTTTTGCGGTTCCAGTGTTTTCATTTCGGTTTGCTTTGTTGGCACATGTGTCGGGCCCAGTTGATGATGGATGCAGTATGATACCATCACTTGTGCAGCTTCCCGGTCTGATGTGATTGGTTATGTGCATGCTTTGTGGTAAAACACTTCACTTTATACTTGTACAATCATGCACACACTGTCGCGGACAGCTGGCCAGCAGCTGCCGCGACAACTTCAAGATGGGAGAGAGACCTGGTTCGTTGTCACTTCTTTCACCACATAAAGAACACTGCTTGGAGAGAGAAAACTACCGAGAGAAGGACACGAAGCACTACAACAGAGCGCTCCGAAAAAGGATTCGCTCGCACGGCAGCGTACGAATGCCGTGCCAGCGTACTGTGTGCAAAAATGTGAAACCAAAAATAGATTATCATGATTTTGCTGCGTGCAAAAGCCAGCCAGTTTGGGAAGTGCATCGTACGCGCGTAGCGATCCCGCGATCGCGTATCGCGGCTGCAATAGGAGCGCTGCCAGTGCGTGCATGAAAAAAAGGAAAATAAATAAATCAAAAAAATGCAGTTCAAATAAATCGACAGTTCGATCGAAGAGATCAAATAATTCCACACATGCAATTCATTTCAGAACAAGATTATAGAGCGAAGCTAGTCATGTGTCAAGCTACCTTACTACAAATACTTACTATACCTAGAACTTAGCTATGGGCAGCGGACCTGGACCCTATCGCTCCTGGGATATACCTTAGGTAAGAGTGCGACGTAAAGACAAAAATTAATTGTAAATACTGTAAATTCAAATTGCACTCGTAACATGTATTCAAATATTGACAGTCCGACATTCGCACATATTGCGACATGCTTCTGTACGCTGTTAGAGACGTTCCGCATAACGTAATTACGTTAGTAACAAACGTAGTCGATCTACGGAAAGTCATACGTAAACTGCATGCGGATCCGTGTTCGCCATGCAGAGTTTTCAAATCACGTAGCTGCCCTTGGCAACTCCGAACGCGGCAGTGTATGACCGGATCGACCTGGGAGAGAGTCATAAATTTGTACCCCAATCCACTTACAGAGCACCAAGGGTTATCAGAGCCCTATTTAAGTACTCTACATGTACAACTTTCCGTAAGTGGAGTGCAAACTCGCGAATTCACGGGTTTTCCCCGCCCACTAACGTAAAGTTGCTCAACTTTACGTAGTGTGGAACCTCTCTGTTGTCTCGTTTCCTTTACTTCCTTTCTTTTCATCACGCAGTGAGCAGTTGCTCAGTTTTGTAGTCTGCAACAGGACAAATCTACACTCACTGGGCCTCTGAGGATGTGTGGAATGCAAGTGTGCTGAGTTCCTGGAGTGCCCGTGATGGCCTGGAAAAGGAGAGCCCATGTGCGCAACACTCCCCATATCAGTGAAAAGTGGGCTCTGTGGTGCTTGTGCTACTGAGACTACTGTCAATTCTGCTAACCTTTGCATCAGGTACCGTATTTTCCAGAGTATAAGCCGCACTGGAGTATAAGCCGCTCCCAGATTGTTGTCACGAAATATAGACATCTACCCACAATTACCCCTTTTTTAGCCACTACTACAGTTGAGAATGAGGTATGTCTCGTTTTCCAGGAGACGACCAATCAGTGACTTTCCCGCCAAGGGCCTTATCAGAGTTCTTAAAGGGGAAGTATACCCTAAAATCAAATTTTCACCAGTTGTAGTCTTCTGGGTGCTGAGTCGAATGGTCTTGGTCCGAGGAAGCTGCGACGCTCCCTTCCTACTTGAATCCCAATCGAATTCGCACACTTCCACCGAAACTGGGTGACTGCGCCCTACTAGATGGGGATTTGTATGCAAAATGTCACTAAAAGCGCCATTTCGTTCTTATAAAAGCACGGATGACCGCGATTGGCCCATATGTTGTAGTCTTTTGGACGCTGAGTCGACTGGTTTTGGTCCGAAAAGGCTGCGATGTAGCGTTCCTCCTTTATTCCCAATCGAACATGGTTGAACAAGCGGTCACGTGCTCCTGGGTGCCCAAATCACCTGGTCACCACGCCAGCAGGCGACAAATTTCACACCAAGGTTCAACTCGAGTGACAGGAGTGCACCCAAAAAAGGTCAAACAGGCTAGTAAGTTGTACCCTGCAGGCACGGTGACCAGGTGACTGGTGTACGCAGGAGCACGTGACCGCTTGTTCAACCATGTTCGATTGGGAATAAAGGAGGAACGCTACATCGCAGCCTTTTCGGACCAAAACCAGTCGACTCAGCGTCCAAAAGACTACAACATATGGGCCAATCGCGGTCATCCGTGCTTTTATAAGAACGAAATGGCGCTTTTAGTGACATTTTGCATACAAATCTCCATCTAGTAGGGCGCAGTCACCCAGTTTCGGTGGAAGTGCGCGAGTTCGATTGGGATTCAAGTAGGAAGGGAGCGTCTCAGCTTCCTCGGACCAAGACCATTCGACTCAGCACCCCGAAGACTACAACTGGTGAAAATTTGATTTTAGGGTATACTTCCCCTTTAAAGCCCGCTGGATCGTAATTTTACTACTCTTTGATGATGCGCCGAGGGCCTAGGATTAGTTTAAAGCCCGCTGAATATACTCTAAACAGGTGCGTACAACTTCCTTTATGCATTTTAGTAGTCCTCAGTGGTGCTGAGTTACCAGAAGAAATGTTTCATCATACCACACCAATTCTCTCTGTACACAAACCACAAAACTACCAGATATAAGGACACACAAGCATAATGCAAGTGAGATAATACATGTAACCTCGTTCTAAAATAGTGTCACTCAGCATGATGGTACTCCAGGCTATTTGCATGATATCTGTCTTTGCTCACTATTCGTGACAACAAGTTCAATTGCAATGAAGCGGCGGCGGCCGGCGGGGGCATCCGGGGGCTTGGTCTGTTTCCAAGCTAGTTGGAAACCGGCTTGAGTTTTCCAAGGTTGCGATGACAATGTGCATTCATGTGCAGGGCCATGCAAACATGGATTTGGGGACCCAAGAAATCTAGAAACGTGTCGCTAGACAATGGCAAAAGCGCTTGGCGAGTATCACGCTACTCATTCAATACAGCGTGTAGGGTATCACGTTCCCTTTGTGCTGCGGGTACTACATTGCCCCTCGCTGGAATCAGACCCGCGCCCCGGATCCTTGCGCTGGCCTCCTAACGGCCAAACTAAAAAAGCGTGTGCTTTGTGACTGGGGTTGTGCTGGTAACATTATGTGGCTGAGGTGGGCTGACTTTATACTAGCCCTGCTAACCTGGGGAGCCACTCACGGTACATGACCACTATTCGCAGCACTTATCGCCCATGCAGCAAGTATTGGTGCAATATGTGTACATTCAGCAAAACACGCGTTGCCAGGAATAATTTGTTATCTTGGAGTGTTCCTGGTGAACTGGCGGTTGGGGGATGGTGGTGGTTGGGAGCTGCTGGTCCGCTGATCGTGGCCGCCAGGCAGCTGCGACCGGTTCCGATGCAATTTCGGTTGTCGTGGTGCTGATCGCGGATGCAGCCGGTGGTGGGGCCATGGCGCGGCGCTGGGAATCCAGAATCGCTGGCAGTGTTTCAGTCAGCACTTCTGCGATCGTGGCTCGAAGGCTTTCAGCCGGGATCACCGATTGTTGCGCCGGGGGTTCAGGCATTGCAACCTGTGGAGCAACAGCGCTCTGGGAGACGGACGCCGCTGGCGGACCGCTTGGAAAGTTGTTTCGCAATGCCGGATCTGTGGCGCGAGAATCGCCCAGGCTCGGCGGTTGAGAGGAGGCAGAGGCAGCTACCTCGGGAACAGCAGTCCTGCCACTAGTCCTAGTCCGTCGAGGCATAGCGAATGGTGAGTGAGTTTCAAGATCCGAAAGCCGAGAAACTGAGAAAGGAACAAACCGGTGTTCTTCTCACGACCCAAACAAAGCAAATATGAAGTAGCAATGTGGCCAGCGCGAAGTATGGTGTATGCGTTACGGGTTCAAACTCCGATGTGTGCTGCAGCCGCATATGGCTGGTTGGCTGGCGAGTTCAGGTGAGTTCCGGCGTAGATCTACGCATGTTACATGCAACCGCGACGTGCATGTACGTGTTGCTTGACATGCATCAATGAACAGTGTGGGATCTGCGGGCTCTTTGGAAGCCGCTGGAGCGCGTTTGAAGTGGTGGCTTGTGCAATGTGTTAACCTACATTATCGCAAGCTCTAATGTGCTATTAATCAAAGGATGGACCAAGTGAAGGTGGCATCACCGGAAATATTGCTTCTGATACATTTAAACAGACAAAACGAGCTGCCATTGGTATCCTTACACTTCCTGGTGTTTTGAAAAAAACACCAATCTTGGAATGCAGCACAACATGATCCCTGATGGCCGTCTCGCGATACGAGCTGGACAAGTAGAGAATGTGCTTCTTTCCAGCAGTATCACTCAGGCTGCATAACAATAAGAACAGGCATGCATGCGCACATTGTGTATTTAGGCACACAAAAACATATGACCAAGTACAGTACGTATCGGTTATAGCATGGGTGTTTGCAAAACGGCTTTTTATCCTTATTTCCGATATTTCTTACACACGATAAATCAAGTGTGACATATCATAAGCATGTGCGCAGAGGCAGGAAGACCATCGTACATGCAACATAGTGCTAATGTGCATTCGGCTGTTCATAGTCCCATAGGCTTATCATGTGGCTGTGCAACGATTAATTACATGACTACAACAGTTGAACCTGCAGGACTACGACGCAATGCGAATCGCATCAGAACTACACTGGACAGATGTTATTACTACTGACGATACACTTTGTACTAATTTTACTACACAAAGTCCATTCTCAGGTGTAAGCTTAGATGCTTTTTTTCTTCTGGTGCAGACTGAGACTGAAAAGTTGACTGCCAGTGGCTATAAATGTCAACGTATAAATTATAAATTATATATTCGGCGAGGAGACAATTTTAATATTGCAATAAGGAGGACGAGCTGAAGTGACATTGGATTACTTTATTAAACAATGTCAAGCGATGGAGACGATGCAAAAACAATTTATAAGGTAAGGAGAAATACATGTAAGAATAAAAAAGCGATGGAAAAAAGATGATTCCAACAAGTTTTCGTACAACACTCTTGAGGAATCACCGTTGTACTACCGGTAAAGAACAGAGGAAATAATAATAGCAATCAAGGTAGGGTGAGCAGGATACAATGACAGCACTAAAGTATTGAGGTGTGCTTTCTCACAAAAGTGTGCACAAAACAATCATTTGGTCTCCACTACTGACTGTTGTCGTACTTTAAGGTGGCTCCTACCCCTCGGGTCCAATTTTTTGTTTGTTTGAAACGTGGCTACAAACGATTGTACTTTGTTCTGTAGGATATCTAGTATGCGGAGGCAAATTTTTATCAAGTTCTACGGGCCGGTTTCACTCGGGGGAGGAGCCAAACATAGCATACTCACAATTGCCAATTTAGGCCAAAATGTACCGGAAAACCACTTTTTTGGCGTAGCACTCGTAATTACCCTATGCACATGTACTGCTGGCTTGGGTGGTGTGTGCAACCATATTGCAGCCTTGCTCTATGCACTGGAGGAGTATGTGCGCATTGGGCTACGTGAGGAAGTTGACGATTCCCCGGCTTTGCAGGTGGAACCGACCCAGGCCTAGGAAAGTCGTTCCTCAGCCAATTGTCGACGTCAGGCTGACAAAGGCTGCATTTGGCTCCAAGCATCAGTCTGAAAAGCGTAAACCCGTGTATAACCCCATCCCGCCGAACAAGCGTCTCGTAAAGCCTTCAGAGTTGACAAAGTTTCGTGATGACCTGGTGGCAGCCCACGATGATGCCATTTCTCGTGACTCGTCCGGGTTGGTTGGCCGTTACGGCAGTTCAACTTGGCTGACTGCGTTGCAGTCTAGCTCGAGCAGCGGCAGCGATGCTGATGACAAAATAGGTGGTGATGATGGTGATGATGATGATGATTATGACGACGACGACAGTGGTTCAGGTCCCCAGGTCATGAGCCGTGCGGTATCAGCTCCCCTGCACTATACCAGCCCAGCCGCTTTTTACCAGGCAGATGTTGTTGGTAAAGCGCAGGCTCAGCTTATCCAGACTGCTACAGTTGAACAGAGTGGATGCTCACGTTGGTTTGAAGAGCGGCGAAAAAGGGTGACTGCCACTATGTGTAAGGCCATTGTCCGTCGCCGAACGGATGATTTCCAGTCAGTGGTTCGGCAGAAACTCTGCGGTGAGTTCCGTGGCAACTTGGCAACCCGCTATGGTACGAGGAGTGAACCACTGGCTATCAAGCAGTACTTGGGGAAAAAGAAAGCTGAATCACCCAACTTCTCATTCGCTCGTTCTGGTTTAATGGTCAGCCTCAAAACCCCGTGGCTAGCTACATCTCCTGATGGTATCTTGTCTGATCCCACTGCTGGCCGTGGAGTCCTGGAAGTGAAGTGCCCGTACAGCTGCCGGTCTGTCTCCTTGTCTGATGCAGCACAGAAGAAATCCTTCTTCCTGAACCATGATGGTGCAGAGCTGTCCCTGAAGCAGTCGCACCAATACCACTTCCAGGTGCAGTTCCAGCTCCAGCTTGTCACGGAGTGTGAGTGGGCTGATTTTGTTGTTTGGATTCCTCAAGAAATGTTTATTCAGAGGTTGAAACGTGAAGAGCAGTTTGCAGAGCGTTACCTTGGCAAACTGGAAAGTTTCTATTTCAAGCACCTACTTCCAGCTCTCTTCATTGAAACTGGCTGTGTCCAACCAGAGAATGCCATACTCGATGACCTGGATACCATGGCCGGATCACTGCCACCTAAAACACAGGAGTCATCACTAGCAGCTGCCAGTTCACCGGCTCAAGCCCGCAGTACTGTGTTGCATGGATCTGCCGCTACGTCACAAGTCACGACCTCCAGTCCTATGCTCCCACCGCCCTCTCTCCAGCAGCGTACCCGTACACCGTCAGTAGAAGTTTGCGCCATCTGCCTTGAAGGTGATCAGCGCTCCCTGCACGTGTGCCCTTCATGCAAGAAACGATTTCACCACATGTGCCAAAATCTGGATGAAGACGGTAGATGGCGCAATTCATGCTTTTTGGCTTCTCAGTAGGTCTTTTCTTTCACTTCTGAGCTCACCCCCCCCCCCCCCCCCTTTCCCTCACACACACACCACCACAAAATGTATCCGCACACATATATCCGCACTAACACACCACCACAAAATGCATCCGCACACATATATCCGGACGAACAATGGCCATGCTGCTGTGTCTGCACTGTTCATATACTGTATGTGAGCCCGGATCAGCGAAAACCATCACTTGTGTTTGATATCAAGTTGATCAAAAAGTGACGTTGAAGTCGAGCGAAAGAAAAGTCGCGGACCTAACAACTACCCATCACCTTTCTGTCTTTCTTGTCACTAGTCTTTCTTTCCGCCTGACAAGCCCGTGTTTGTTTGTTTGTTTGTCAGTGACTAGCTAGCTAGGCAAGCCCCAGGCAAGTGAGGAGACACGGCTAGGAAACCCCACATACCTGAGCTTAGCTGGCGAATAGGTACGATCGCGGGGCGCGAGCATCGCACACGCATCGATCGTCGTTGACGCCAATCACGACACGACATTTTTTGGTGATGACTGGAATGGCGATTGCTCATCAAGGGAGTCAGGTGAAAGCCGACAGAGCTCCAGAGGACCACTCTCTCCTGCCGCAAAGCGACTCGGCGAGGCTGCAGACTTCGTGTAGAAGAAAGCAGCGCTGATGAGAATGACGACGATTCGAGTGGATATTGTTTAGCGATGAACGACTCCTTCACTAGTAAGTTTGTCGGATATCGACAGTGACGATGCAGAGCAAAGGCGTCTCGATTCACGACTGGAAGAGCAACGAGAGCTAGCGCCAGACAAGATCTGCTTCGTTGGCTTGGACGCTGAGCAACTTGAAACATTTATTGGGTCCATGCAGCAGCTCCCAAAAAATTCAAAAAATATGTTCCTGTAGGGTCAGGTAACCGTTGAATGTATCTGCACCTAGTACGTACCTCATGCTCATGAGCCTGTGTGCTGAGCAGTCACAGCTACTGTGACTGATTGCACTCCGTGTGTGCAGATATGTTTTCATGGAAGTGAAGGGCTTGGAGAGCATCAGTACAGAACCTGGTGTGGATGCAATATCAGCCCCTGGAACTTGGCCATATGCCGTTAGCTGCGCGATAGTCAGTGAAGCCAATGATTTACTTGGACAAGCCAGTGTCTGAGTACACCCCCAAGGACTATAAAATTCCTCCTTGTTAGCCGGCTGAGTGATGGCAATGCCTGACAGGATCAGACACATACCAACGCTCATACTTGCATCCTACACAGAAATGCCACTTCCAACATGTGCCATACAGCGATGTGGTGTACCGCATTTTTTGGTCACTTACGGTGCTGCGATTGATCTAAAATTTCTTGAGACTGGTTATCAGTGGTTATGGATCAATTTGGAGCACAAAAATATTTTTGAAAATTTTGCACATGTGATGGTTTTTGCTGATCCAGGCTCATATCATAATAATACATCAGTCCGTATCTGTCTTTTCATGAAATGTTATAACGATAGTGTGACTCCACCGAATTATCTGCATGTATTTTTTAGTAGATGCTTGGCTAAAATTCCCAAGCTCAGCTGCTGTGTATAGTAATACAACTGTCTGATGAGTGTTATTTTCAATCACGAAGTTCTGAGTATCGAAAAAGAAAGACTTGCTTGTGTCATTGCCTTGTGAGAATATGTTCGGTTAATGTTGGAGTTAACCGTTGTTAACAGTCACATACCATTGCTTCGCTGTTGGCCTTTATAACGGGTTGCATAACCCTCCTTACGTGTGTGCACAATCTTGCTCTCTCTACATACTGCTGTGTATCATAGGCATCACATGCCCACGCTCTGCGCATGCGCAGATTTCCTGTGCGCACAACAGAGCTTGCTGTCTTTCCAGTTTCCTTGCCTGCAGTCAGCTTTCAAATTCTGCACTCAAAAATTCTGATTTCTGATTTGAGTTTGCCCCCGTCCTGCTTCAGAGTGTCAGTCCTAGTTCTGCCGATTGGCTGCCGCCTTTAGTATTCGCTTTCCTTGTTCTCTCTCAGCTCAGTCCCGTCAGACTACGTGTCTTCAGCGGCCAGAGATTATTTGAGTATTATATTCTCACGATGGCTCGTTTCTCGACCAGAAAAAAGACGCCATCGGCCAGAGTGGCAGCTCAACCTTCGGATACAGGACGTAATGTGCGTGTGCGGCGAAATCCTGTTCGTCTTCAACCGCCCAGAACTCCAATATCTCCCCACTTGGATTCTGTTGTCTCCGACGTTGCGCCGTCAGTTTCTTCTGCCGCCGCCTTGAATGTGGTCCCTGATCCCGGGGCGGCAACTCAAACTTCGGCTGCAGGCAG